AAGCCAGCCCCAAGTTGGCAATTCCAAGAAAAGAAGTTGACTAGCAGTAAAGTATCTTCCCAACTGTACCAGATTGGTGGAGAAAGGGGAAAGAAGTTCTCTATTTTAGTTCTTGCAGCTGGAACAAAAAAGCATGAAACCTATTTTGGGATGTAGAGAGAGATTAGGATGGAGTGGACTAATAACAGACAAGGAAATGGCTGGGTGGGCACAGACTAACACATTTGGGAATGTGATTATTAGTATTTTTGGTTAAAACTCAAGCACACAGCGGATCTTAAAATTAAGAACCACAGGATGTCAGACAGAGGTTTAGTATATACAAAAATCACTTAGTTTTGGCCAAGTACTCAAAGATGCCTGCTTGCACCAATAAATTAGGATACGCCAGTTTGACAGCTCCTGGTTTCTGAAGCCGATGTACTTGCTGGAGATTGCTGGTTAGAGACGTGCTCTTGCTATTTTTATTTTATTTATATATGTTATTTTATTTATATACAGCCTTTCTTCCACAATGGGATTGCTACTTATAAACTGGTTTTGCTGCACTGGATAATGTATGACAGGGAAGAGAGAGAAATAGGGATATGTGAATTTCCAACTTCGGAACCCAACTTCTGTAATTAGTGTCCAAAGAACTAAAAGTAATGAACATCTTTTTTGCCACTTTTTGGCAAACAGTCTATCCTCTTACCCAAAAAGGGATTTCAAAAAGGTACAAAGTGCTGCTTCAGACAGGAAAACTAAAATTATGATAGTAATTACAGTCCTGATTATTTAGCTGTGCAACAAGAACATGCATACACCAAAGCACACAACAAAAAAGGGTGTAGAATCAGTGTAGTAAAGTCGGACCTTAAAAATGCAAAGGAGAATCTACTACGTCACTTGTTTTCTGAGTTGTCAAGCAATTCTCTACTGTTACCATTAAAATGTTGTACACCCAGCTACCTCTTTATATGGTTTCATAGCAAAGGCAGCTGCCATGTCTTACTAACCCTGGATGCATGGAGACAAGAAGTTAGGAGAGTGGACCCATCTGCTCTGTAGAAATAAATCCGCTTTGACACCACTTTAACTGCTATGGCTCAAAGCGATGCAATCCCAGAATTGCATTGCATTGAGCCGTGGCAGTTAAAGTGGTGTCAAAGTGGATTATTTCTACAGTGTGGATGCATCTAATGTAAACTCATCCCTCCCAGTGTCTTCTTTTCACACATTATTTCCTTTCTGTGCTTCTCACGTGCCGCAGAAATCTCTGTTTTCAAATTCCTCAAGCTTTCCTGCCTATGATGCCACCAAATGGAATATAGTATTAGTATATATAGTATGACCACAGCTCAGTGATAAAGCACCTGCTTTTCATGCAACAGGTCCCAGGTTCAAATTCTGGCAACTCTGGATGAAGTTGGGAAAGGTTCCTGGAAAGCAATGCCAATTATTGTGTACTCTAGTGTCAATACTAAGCTAAATGGCTCAATATTTCTGACTTGGTAAGACAGCTACATGTGTTCCTAAATATTAGGGAAATATCTTGTAACCTGTTGCATGGACGCAGCTTTAGAAAGTTAGGCTTTTAGGCCTAAGTGATTTACTTCAAAATAGTGATTCGATGAAGTTAACCTGTTTTTAACTTTTCAACTTGTTTAACATGTTTCCAGGCAACCTAAATTATTGTAATTTTTTATTATTCTAAATAGTTTTAATCTGCTTATATTTTATTTCTAAGCTGCCCTGAGATCTCATTATACAGAGCAAGGCAGAAAATAATAAAATGAATCAAGCGAATACTTGAGACGGACAGAAGAGTAACATTCAGATACTGCTGGATAGTGTCTGAAAGTGGCTCATGTGAATTCACCAACATTTCATGTTCTGGATGACACATCCAATGCAATTAAGCAATTTTTCGGTAACATAAGGGCAGAGTTTTGGGGAATGAGGAAAACGTTTGCTGTTTTTCCTGGCTCGAGAGCAGAGAGTCAAGTTAAATTCTTGGGCTTTCAGCCCAATACCTTTCACAGCAGAACACAACACAAGGTAAGGGAAATAAAAGCATTAGCCATGATAATGTACATCATGAAGGAGATTTTCTTTTTTTTAGGAAAAGGGAGTATTCTCTTGGAAAGCTATTAAACATTACAGCTAAATGCCAGTGGACTTCAAACAGAACGGCAATAAAAAGATACGTTTGAGTTCCTGGAATGCTGTTATCCTAGTATTTTTAATATCCCAAAGAGCTTTACAATCCTCCTCTCATTCATAGCAACCCAACGTGGTAGGCCATTCACATTTTATTGATGGAAGCAATGTTAACATTATGTGCACAGATGCACATGTATCGTAGAGCTCAAACTTTAAAGTGATCTGCAGGCAAGAATGAGCAAAAACAGAGACTTGGACCAAATACTGATGCTTATTTCCAAACCTAGATGCAGCACATCTGGGATAATGCCAAAGCCTGGTACACTTTTAAGCCAGTTTCCTCTGAGTTATCCTTACAAGTAAAATCTTTTTATGTTTCCCAAGGTATTTACATCCTTGCTGTATTGGAACAAATTCACCTGTCAAATTCTCTGCAATGAGTTTTTGTGAGGTGTCCAACTTTCATGTGTTGTGCCTGCGAGAAAAAAGGTTCAGACATGAAAACGCGTGACGTCTCTGCTTAAAGAAAGAGCAATGGACAATAATGAACAAACTGATGTACAACCAGAACATGGCAAAATTTCAGTGCGAAGTCATATCTTCATTTGTGCAAGTAATCATTTTTCAACAGAAATCCATAACAAACAAGTCCAATATTGCTTCTACTAAAGCTTGGCCCCAAATATACTAGGCAGGAGGACAGAGACTTGATACTCTGCTCCATGATGCAGTTCTTTGTTCTCATGCTATGCTAAAACAAGCTAAGGTCAGCCCTAAACTACTACCTAAAATGTGCAAAAGGATAAACAAGTGAGACATTTTGAGCTAATCTCACTGACAGCCTTGGGCTCAGGAATTTGCCCCCCACCCCCTTGTTGCAATCTGCTGGTGTTTCGGGCTACAGCCGAGACCTCAATAATTCCTTATGGGACAAATGCCTGCAAGAAAGGAGGAGTGGATCGCTTGGTAATTTTTAGCTCAAGTCCTCCACAGTTACTCCCTAGGAGGTCTGCAGTCACAAAGCAATGAGGCATTGCAATTTGCCTAGAGAATTTACTGTAAACTACATTTAAACGTAACTGAAATAAAGGAGTTGACAGCATGAGCTTTCACAGACTTCAGTCTACTTCTTCAGATTCAAAAGCATCCGAGGAAGTAGACTGAAGTCAACGAAAGCTCATGCTGCCAACTTCTTTCTTTCAGTTAGTCTCAAAGATGGTACAAGATCTCTCTACATACTGATTCTACAGACAAACAAGGCTATATCTTTGAATTCTACAGCTGGTCCTCCACATTTGTGGCTTTGATTTTTGCAGCTTTGATTATTCGCAATTTTATTAATATATTCTCACTAGGAATCTCCAGGTTTTCCAGCATGATTCTCCCAGAAGTTGAGCACAGAGTCATGCTAAAGGACCTAGAGATTCCTAGCGAAGACACTTCTCTAAGCATTTGTAGGTCCTCCATTGTGATTCCATGGTCAACTTCTGCTGGATGTTGACCACAGAGTTGTGCTAGAGAACTTACCAAATGCTCAGAGAAGTGTCCTCCCAGGTAAAATAAACAGTAGTTTTTTTATTTCCATTTTTTCCACTTTCACAGGGGTCCTGTGCACCTATCCTCAGCAAATCTGGAGGGCCCACTGTATATCATCAGAAACATCCAAGAAACAGAACCCAGAAAGGTGTTGTGGAAAGAGGAGTTAAGTGTGATACTCACTGCATGAAGATATCTAAGAGAGAAGGCAGATTTAACCAAAAAAACCCAAACATGATCCCAAGTACAATTCAATTCTATAGGAAAAAGTAAAATAATATTCTTTTGCTTGAGGAA